GTCCGCGCACCCGCTCCAAATCGAGCGACAGCTTTGGACGCCGCATCTCCAGCGTTAACTGATAGCGATGTGATCGATTTTCGTCCATGGATGATGCGAGGCTGGTGGGCGCCAAGTCAGTATTCTGCGGGGCCGTGTCGAAAGTTAGTGCTCGCGAGAAAGATGAGCACCCTGACACAGATGTAGCAACCGCTCACCTTTACCATTAAGGGAGCCAACACCATGTATCCCACCAAGATAAAACTCATCAGAGGACAATTTCCTGACGTGAACATTTAGATCACCGGCACGTACCACAGTATCGGCACTTTTTCTGTAACGCAGCAGATCGTTAAGTTGATGATAGAAATCATCTTTCATCGAATCAGTGCTGCAGTTTGTGGAGGCGTAGGCCGCCATGACAAACAAGCACCGTTTGTCCCTACGTAAATTCGAAGCCTAGAACGAGCCAGCTATTCTAACGGCGCACCTCCAGCCTCTGACTGGGACCCAATCGGTCAGGGCATCTTCATACCAGGGGCCCAACACAGTGCCAACGCCAGCATGACAGACAGACGCAATGAGAATGTGCCGCCATTGTCGCATGTGAGAGATCGCAGGGTAAACACGAAGCTCGAAACTTGCAGGCGAGTTTCCGATCAGTATCAATATCCATCGATAGGATCCCTAGTGTTCGGACAAGTACTGCCTGTTGGCCAGTTGATAGCAAAGTGCGCACGTTGAGGCATGCAAGTTTGAACGAGGGTCGAGGACTCCAAAGGGGAGCGAATAAACTGACATTGTCCGCTTGCTTGAACGTGGACTTGTCGGCTGGATTGGAGCTAAGCCGTGCCATTGGGTGAGTTGCCACTGGAAGAAAAGCGACTACCGAAGCAAGATAAGGAATGACCATGATTTGGGGGCTTGAAACAGGGTGATAAAAGAGAACTTGGGGCGGGACGCTAATTTTGAAAATGCACAAGAGTGAGGATAAGAATGCTGGAAAGTCTGAACAGTAGCATTTAAACCACTATCCACTTTGCTCGATGCCGCAGATAACGCGCTGTCGATTATCCTCTGCGTCGGCCAGAGCGCCAAGGAACCGTGTGAAAGAAAAGTTCATAGAATTGTATTATGCAGGCAGGGTATTGCCAGGCTGCCTAGACCTTGACAAGCGAATGATTATGATTCATAACCGAAGTCTTTGTTTCAAAAACCTTACCGCGAGGCAGCGAGATTTTGGCACTGGGCTAAAAGAGTCGGTTTTATGAGTATAATAACAACTTCACTCAAACTTTCGACCTGGCGTGCCAGGAGACTGAGTTCGCCTGACCTATACCTATTAACAATTCTGGTATGAGTAGCTCTGAAGGTGCACAAAGAATCCCCTTGCATAGCTCAGTGGACCACTAAGGCAGACAAACCATCGCCACCATGTTGAGGTCCAGTGTCTGCGATTAACGGTTGTAAACTTCAAATAGATTTCTTCCGCTAACTGTATTGTCCATTTTATGGTCTGATATCCTTATTTTCAGTCTCTTCCATTAATTCTACATGTTTGGTTTTAAAAGTTGCATTATTTAATCTCTACACACTAACATGCTGATTTATATTTGACTCTTTATTGCCGAAGTAGCTGGGTTTCGCCAATATCGCGGTTGCGTCAATCGCACCCTTACGATCCGCCAGATGCTTGAACACCGTCAGATGTCCCGTCGAGCAACCATAGTTGTATTCTATATCCTTCGAACTGCGTTTGACCTTTGACAGAGTGGTGCTTTGGGACTGCTTACTAATGATGTGTATATCTGAGAAGTACATCAGCGTTCTCCGTACAATTTAATGTCAAACTTCAGGCCGCTTGCTAGTATACGGAAACCTTTTGCCCCCTTCAGTATCATTAGTGGTGTTAATGTTAACCAGCCTCTCTCTTCATGTTCAACTTCGCCACGAGGGCGATCCTTGAAACTACCCGGTAAAACTTTCAGTCCCCTGGCTTCGAACTGCTCCCGGGTGACCTACATCGAAACTTTTAGTATGCACACGATATCGCTGTAATTTGTGTGTCCTTCCGTTTCGCCCAGCATATGCTGCTTGGACTAGGGATGTCCACCTCCCAATTTTGTTAAACTTTGCCCCTTCCAAACGTAAGTTCTTATTACAGGACTCTTCAAATACATTTTCTCTCAATCTTTCGGGTTATTCACCTTAAACGGTCGACAAATTAACTTAACTTGCTCGTTTCAGTACTGGCGTTTTGACAGGTAAGACCTCGTTGCATTTCTCGCAGGCTAGATTAGCTTTTGCTAACCTCCATCAGCTATGACGTTGTAATGACCTCAGCCTTACTCTCGATGGATTAGTTTACAATGCTGCGGTCCCATTAGTTCTGCTGTATATCTGCTAGCCTTGGCTGGTTTGCAAAAGTGATGTTTAGTGGCTATCTGTCTTCGATCACAGCTGCCTGCAAAGCATTGCTGGTTTTCAATAGCAACATCACATCCGTGCTGAGGTCCGTCTGAGAGATTACAAATCTGACAAACTCCGCCGATTGATTGCCAGCATCTTTCTACTGCGGAGGCTACGCTGACTTGGGCATGTGCTTCGCTTGCATGCCCAGCCGCTATCACGACGTGTTTTATTTGCGAGCGCAGGTGTGGGAGGGTAGCGATGACAAGGAGGACAATGTGTGTCCAATACGTTGAGGCGCAAACGTCGAATCTGGCAGTTACTGGCCTTTCTCCACCCCAAGGATGGGAACCAAATGATCACGAGCACACCTGTTTGCAAATGCTACTAGAGATGTTCAAGGATCGTGCGTCATGGCCCATTTGCTGTGAGACATTTCTTCTCTAACTGTCCTTTTCCCTTTTAATCTACCATTTTTCTCCCTTGTATTGCAGCACAACCGATTGTATTGTACTTGGCAACATTTATATATATATTTATATAGAGGTATATATATGATGTATATATATGCCCCATGCGGAGGCTGATGTTGCATTCTTGATGCTTCTTCATCGCAGTTGGGCTAAACCAACTTACACTTAAACTAGGTCTTTTTAAGCTGGATAAATTTCATTCCACTTTATTTGGTTTGTTCTGCCTACTTGAATAATGTTCTATTAACTGCCCAATTTGTTTGCGATAATTACGCTTATCTTCGAATATTATGTTGCGTTTGTAGCATTTTTAGGTAACCTGTGGACTTTCCTTACTTATCGTGGATTTATTGCCAACCAACTTACTTCATATGGTCATTTAGAGAAGAGTTATGCCACCGTATCTGTACGGATTATTGGATTAATTTTATTTCAGCTTGCCGTTTAAAGTGTTTGGCTGTCGCTTGATATCCCCGGTGTGGCAGCGCTTGATGTGCATGTTGGCAAGGTGCCTAAATGTCTATCACCCACTACCTCATCCATACTGGCTCATTAAGGGAACGGTAGAAGTTTGAATCGGGCGGCAAACACTTATGCATTCCTTGTTCTGAACACGGTCAGCCCGGAGACTGCAATATCTAATTTCCTAACTAGTATAGCTCTATGGATAGAGAGTTGTTATTATTAGTGTTGTTGTATGGGTTTGCCGGTCTTATTCCTTCTGGTTTACATCGGATATTGGGTGTGTGGGTGGTGCAGCACAAGCCACTCATGGTGTCTCTGTAGGCGCAGGATTTTTGTGGCGGCCCTATGGAGGTCGCAGTGACTGGCAAATCCGGAACCGGATACACCCAACCACGGGTTTGCCGACAGTGGAGTATGTCTGTTTACTCACTGAATCTTCTTAGTTGGTGGCAGAGCAAGTTCTTTGTTGTAAGTGGTATTTTTCCATCTTAGTCTATCCTGACGTCCCCGCGGGATGTCTTACGTGCGGTCATTCTATAACCTGGAGACACCATTGTCTCGTCAGCTTCCGTGAAACCAGAAGTAAACACTGGACTTGCTACCTCCCTTTTGTGCACTACTAGCTACTTCTGCTATAACCCATGTCTACTGCTCGTGATCCGCTGCTACCGCGCGTCTTGCACTTTCACTACACTAATCGCTGCATTCATCCATCGTTACTAAGAGGTTCAAGTGTCTTCTTGCAATCGTTGTGTCATTTTCAACCTCCTTGCAAACCGATTGGTGGGATGTGCTCCACTGTCCAGTCTGTAGATTTGGCGAATTTTCTGTTATCTGCTTTCTCAGCTCTAGGCGACCGTCTTATTGCACCTATTATGAATTAAGTAATGTAAACCCTTTATCCTCTCCATGCCCCCCCCCGTATACAGGGTGCCCGTGAACTCTGGACACATGAGTAAAAATGCACGTTTTTATTCAAATAACCCCTCTACAGTATGATTCACATCATGAGTTTTTCATAAACCACACACTAAACTATACTTTTTTGATCCTTATTGTTTCGAATAAACAACAAAAGGCAGCTTTTGTTGCGATCGGTATAGAACATTTTGTCTGTTAACCTCACCATTCGCATAAAACATTGCTGCATTAGTAAACAGAAGTCTTCTGTGAAATAGATGCTTTTCGGAAGACTATTCACATATCTTGATTCGTCTATCAGGGTCATCATCTCTTAAGTGATACAAGATTTCATTTGTATGGATAAAATTTTCGCTGTTTTAATACCTGACCGGCGGTTGGTTTCAAAATATCTGACTCAACAGATGTTATACGGATGGGTTTTTGGAACTCGCATACATCTTAAACCCAACAAGATCTTTCGTTTTGACTGATACCCTTGGTCGCCCAGAACGCGGTTTGTTCATGATGCTGTCTGTTTCCTTAAATTTTCCAATCACCTCAGCCACTGACGAAAAATTAGTTTGAATTCCCTTCGAACGGCGTATATCAACTTCCTCTTCGACCTTTCGATTTGACTATCTTTCACGTCCACTGAGAAGTACCAGCTCAACTCGTTCTTATTTTGACAACCAAACAACTGTTACTAATTTTGACTTTTGTTTTTCGTTTTAATTTAGTGCAAAATATCCAGTTATCCTGTTTCCAGACTTTATGGACACACTGTATATACATTTATATGTTCATTTTATCATTTTCATCGGTTTTCGTACTAATAGAGACTCCAGGCTGTGTGATTGCAACCAAGTACAGCTGTGTCACCGTTTGGATATCCCTCTTCGACTTATCCTGGAACCAAAAGAGCGAAATGTTTCCCACCAAAGTTCTGTGAGTTTTCTTATCTTTGCATTCACATTTTTAGTGTAAATGTTTACTTGTTCATGAAATTCTTTCATTAGAGACCGATAGCTGCGGCCAGCTCGATAACACCATTCTTACAGGTTTGCTGCGGCATTCTTCAATTCAGACAGCCCATGTTCACTCCCTAAAGCCCACCTGCAGGCGATGGTGATTGCAGTCATCCAGTCCGCCATATCCGAAGAACATGTGGTGTTTGCTTTAGATCTGTTAAGACTCCTTATAAACCCAGTCGATCTTACATGAACTCTACAACCGTCGTCCGCGTTGTATCTGCTCCGTACGGTATTTGGAGCGAGATCATTTAATCTACTGAATCAAGTGAGGTGCCGAAAACCAACTCCATCGCCTTGTGGATCAAGTTAAGTGTCGGTCTGGAGTTAGGAAACGTCGAACAATATTTCTTCTGCTAATTTGCAGCCTTCGAGTGCTCCACGCCCACATTCGCCTTCACTTGTTATTTTTCCTCTCTTAGCTTTTAGGTTCCTTTTACTTAAATCAGTCAATAAGTGACCAACCATGACTTCGTTGCGCATATCCTGCTATTTGTACAACCATGGTTGTCGATTCCCATCGCGTTTGTCGTCCTCCAGACTCCGCATCATATACATTTGCTAACAAAATTGTCTCCTGTCCTTCACTCTGTTGACATGGATGTGCTGTGTGAGCAAAGCGCATACAAGATTGCAACACGTCAACCCATCTTTGGCTGCTTAGCACGATTACACTGGTATGATCATATTCTTCGCGTCTCTAGTTCGGCGTATTTGGGAGCGTTGTACTACATTCATCGAGTCATCCTCAGCAACAACTCACCCGCAATATAAATCGTTGTTTTGCTACAGTGCGACCAAGATGACCCGGTGAATCGGTAATAATACTAACAACCAAATATTTAGGCCCTTACGCCTTGTCAGCAACATGCGATTAAAAACAACTGGCTATCGTGTACAGATAAGGCGGCATCAACGAAACGATTTCCGTACGGCTTTCCCTGCCCCACGTCATAGTCAACCATCACACCGCAGCTAACTCGTGATCGGACGAAATTTATACATGCAACCCGACTAGACAGCACCGGACGCGCATTTGGTGCCGACTGCGAGCCGTCCTGTGAAGTATAACACTAAGCACAAAGCGCGTCACCTGGAAGGTAGGGCAGATCCGCAACATCCTCTTCAGTCCTCTGTAACTTCATTTCCCTACCTTGAAATCAGTCTGATTCGGGTACCATGAAACCAACTAGCCGGTGGAAGCACCGTTCGGTCACTACCAACTGCAGACAGATTTCGACGGGTTTGTGCCTCAGACACCAGTAATTATCTCACTTGTGAGATCTGCGGCGCAATGACCAATTGACCAGCTGGAAAATACGCGATACTCTCTTGTTTTTTTATTCTACATACCTCCGAATGTAGCTTGGTGAATTTCCGAAGCAAAATCTCTCCGCAGTTGTCATGTGTACTATTCACTGAGTAAGCGGCTCGAACGTAGAGATCTGTCTGGGGATAGGCATGCACGAGAAGATCGCCTTCCTGCAGCCAACACACCGGCCGGGAGGCCGTTTCGTCGCCCATGTGCACCATTTTTTCATCCCTGTGTCGACTGCATCGCCTTTTTTCAGCTGCATTGCATTCCAACACTAATGTTTGCACTGTGCCATTTTGCGCTTGCCATACTGCCCCCTAAATTGCTCATATCTCCATCAGCTACAGATGTCACCTTCTACTGCATGCTTGTCAGTTGATTTGACACACATCCGATTTGATTGCAGTTCTGTCTATTAGTACTCAGTGACATGGCGCCCTTTTTTCCGGTCTCATTGTGGTGCCTTATGTTGGTTTTAGTTTTAAACTTAAATCATAGCCGTCCAGCCAACTAGTCAGGACGTCGTCTTCCAGTGGTAGGCGGTTTGTATAAGTCAGACTATTTGCTATCACTTTCTCTGTGTATCGGAGAGGGCATTTGAAACGGGCTAAGCCAGTAGTATGGTGGATTGTTTTTGTGGTGTATCTATTATCTTAGGTTTTACGTCAATAGTAGTTTCACTGTTCGAAATAGCTTGAATCTAGAGCGTTTGAGTGATTGCAAACACTCTTGAGATGGGAAGTGCTGTTTCAACTATCTGTGTGTGAAATCATCACCCAGAAAGACAGAACTGGTGATCATTTGATGTTGGGCCTTACCTATCAATTCACGTAAACCCATCTGGTATGTTGGTCTCACTCTTCCTGGCACCGATGAAAACCGAACCGAATTCGGGGAATCGGGGTGCTTGAACCTGAAAACCTCTCCCATTTCACTGAAAGGTTGTAGTGATGCGGAGATTCTCTGTTCGACCGTATACTTTCTTCTTAAATATTACAAATTATAGTTTTCTTATGTATTAAGGAGTTAGGTGATTTGCTTTTCTGTATGTTGCTCACGTTTGTTTGAGACACACTCAAAACACTTGCATCCGCTCTGGAACCAACCAGACGCGACCTGCGATTGGCGCCCGTCCTCGCACTCAGCTGCCGTTTACATGCTCCCTAGCTAACTCTCCTCTGGTGCCTCATTTTAGTTTTAGATACTTTAGTGACCTCCAGTATATTTTCGATTTCGGTTGGCATTTTAGCTGCGAATCTCATATATAGCGCACGACCGATGCGTTATAAATCTATGACAACTCATTTGCGGTTGGTTCGATCGCTTCAGTGCTAATTGGCGCAAGGATTATGGGCTTTCGGTTAGTGTTTCGCATACTACATCCCTGTCTGTAGAGGGAGCAAAAATCTCACAGACGAGTTTCATCGCCGCATCAGTCTCATTGTCATTGTTTTCAAAATACACCCAGGTGCCATGCCACCTACGACCCAACAATTCACGGGTGAAAGTTATCGAGGAGAGTCTGACCGGCTTCTGCCCCGGCATGCGTTGCATTTGCGGTATCGTTATTATTGCCATAGCATATCTGTCTGGCCTTGTTCGAAGTTTCCCCAAAAAATACACGCTTGTTTTGCAAACCACTGCATGTTTTGTAAAACACTTGGGACGTTTTTCTAACTATCTTGGATGTTTTGCAAAACAAATCGGACGCGTTGCATTTTAAACAGAAAAGCAGCAATTCGCTAGCAGGAAATGTGAAGTAAGGCGACTAGACTATGCTCAGACTACATTGTAGTCATACCAATGAAACCGAATTGCTTGAGTAGCGCGTGCCACTACAAATCTCTCTTGATCGCGAACCTCGATCAAAGGCGGTGATTGAGTATCCTGCCCACTCTCCATCAGTCTTCGCGTAGTTTATGTGCCTCTGACTTTACACATGGACGTGTGCAGCAATGTGACTACTGGCAAGTCAGACTACTGAATCGCGTAGTCTTTTATGACTTAAATCTTACCTAGCTTTGAAGGGTCATTGTGAAGCACGCGTTTTGTGAATGGATTGCGATGCGCAATCTCAATGTGGGCCGCGATTCCCACTGAACTAAACGTTGACCAATTCGATGACTTGGTACGTAAGTAATGAAGCAGATAGGCGGCGATCCCGTTGCCTCCTGTCACTCTATGGTCCAACCTCTTTAGCTGATCGGTCATGGGATCAGTTCAGGCTATAATGATTCCACCAAACACAGCATAGCTCTCTTGTCCTACTGCTGCAAATCCTTATCAAAGAAAGTGAAGTGAGATGACTGGACGTTGTTCCTTCCACATTTTTGTCATATGAATGCAACGGGGCTGAAAGCAGTAGGCAGTGATGCTGGTCCTCCTCTTGATCATTGGCGTCGTTCACCTCCATCGAAGCCGTTTACATAGTTTTCCCTGTCACTCTATTGATCTCTGCGTATTTTATGTGGGTGTGTAGGCTCCTGAGGCCGGTTCTTCACGCATGAGGTGAGTAATAAAGCTACGGCTGGTTTTTGTGGGACAGAAATAAAAACAGACTTTCGAAAGGAAAACTTTAAACCCTCTTGGGACATTTTCATTTCATGTGATTCAGAGTGGGTTAGCGGAAATCCCAAGTCTGGAAAGAAATTGTTAGAAGGCAACACTGAGTTCTACATTCACAACAGCCAGTACGGCGTTAAAACAAATCAAACTGGAAAACTAAGGGAGGCATCTATACTACCACAGCAACAGCAATTCTGTAAAACGATTGAGAGAATCGTGGTCCTTGCGTCAACTTTTTCAGTAAACATCTGTTTTCCGCATCAGTACGAAACGAATAAGCAAGGCACAGTGGAAGTAGTAGGAAAAAGTCTGCTCGTACTGGACAGTTCTCTTCTTATAATTCTCCAGCTCCTTTGACCTGACGTGTATGCTGAAAACAAAGGAAATAATGAGCAAAGCGCCCAGCAAAATACGGAACGCAAATAAAGTTGGAATGTTTACCTCAGTTAATAAGGAAGTGTTACCAATAATACATGAAAGCTTCCATAGACGATAACTTTGTCTCGAAATGTAGCTTGCAAACTTTCATATTAGGGCACTCCAATAGGGAAAAATTAGTCTATACAGGATATCAAGTAGGCGGGTAAATCATCGCCGCGAAAACGCTGGTACAAGTGAAACTGCAAACACTATATATATATATATATATATATATATATATATATATATATATATCCTGTGTCGTGTGCTACTCTCGAGTTGACCTCGGTGTAACATAACTTTTATAACTTACGAAAGAAATAGTCCAAGCTTTCATCGTCTTGCTTTCCTTTTTGTTTGAACGCCGTTACATCGACTACATTAACAGTTGAGGAAACTTCTTCGATATTGGGCAGTCGCGATGTCATTGTCATTCACGCACCCATTGTCTTACATTTTGTTGCTTGACTTTTATCCAGATAATTTAGATACTTTAGCCACAATGCATCAAATTTTGTGCGCAGGTTTGCTTCTGCTCATTTTCATCACTTTTATTATCCCCATTTAACAATTGCTTTTGTCATAGTAGCCAAATCCACTTCGTCCACTCCCCGGAGTCATAGTTAAACCACTGCACTCAGCTGATCGCACAACGTTATAACTCTTTTTGCCGTAGACCATTTTCTGTTACTCTCTTACAGGAATCAGAGCGACAAGAATCTTTCGACCCCCAGGCATTACTTCAGCAGGACAACCAGCGGGTCCCTAACGAGTGAGTTTCATCTACTTACCTGTCAGATGTGCTCGATCGAAGTCAAGCAAGATGGCTGTGTGACACAGCTAGGTCTTCGATTGCTTTCAGATCATTGTTGTGATGTGTGGGGGGGTGAGACAAGTAACCACTTGTCAGTTCACGTTCGGAACGCTTGTCTTCACAAGTAGCTCTCAACGATTCACGCCGCACTGTCTTATCACGTCGGTATGCACATTCAGTCTGTACAAGCTTCTCAGTCAACTGACCCAAATGCACTAAATTTGTCCGCATAAGGCTGCGCGCAAGTTAATTGTTTCCTTTACTGAGCGGCTCATCAATATACTAAAAACATTGCGGCCTCATCTGCAGAATCCTCTCTAATCGGATTCACTTGTTTCAATTCTTTGAACAATTAAATCCTGAAAACTTGTTCTGAGATTCGAAAGTGTTACCCTTGGTCTGTAGTGCACTGCAGCTAGTTGATATTTAAGCATATCCTTTTTCACTAACATGAAGGCTGTTGGCTGCCGAGGAGCTCTTGAAGATTCTCACTACTTTGTTGGGACTACCGAACACGATTGTATTACCACATCACTTTGGACCCATTCACTTGTTTCTGTCCTCTTGACTGCGTCATTACCAAACGCCCGGAGACACTCTGTTGTGATGCTCTACAGAGCAGTACTACCCGTTTTAATTTTGGCTAACTGTTCACATGCCATGATGATGTTTCGCATTTTATCTGTCGATTGTATTTGGAACTCCGTACACCCTTCCACGTTGGATAAATCTGGCATTGATTAGCATGAATAACGTCTTAGGTGTTCCTAACTTACGTGTGCTCATGATTCTTACTTAACTAGACCATCTAACTATTTATAAGAATCGTCTAGTGATTTTCTGGGATTTCACAAGTCACCGTCTCGAGCCTACGTAAATGCAAGTAATCTCACCGGATTCCCGAACACATGCGATTGTTGGTGTTTGCGTAGCAGAGACACGTAGGCACAGGGTACTGTTGTGTTGCTGACATCCCCTACTTAAATAGTTGACCCTGTCTATGCAGCTACGTTAATACTGTTGCTACCCACCTAATAGTGATATAACTGACGCACTGAAGTTTTGAGCTTAAAATTACTCACTGATAAGCATCACAAATACTTTCTACTTGTAAGTAACCGTCATTCTCCATAGGACGCCTGGATCCGAACCGAATTATTTATCAAACTGAACTCAGCAATCCGAAAGGTCAGTTCAAAGCATATCTTCCTCCACCACAACAAGTTTATTAAGTAAACAATGGCTCAGCTATATCCTATGATTTCAGAACGAACAACCCCATCCGTGCCACTCTTGAATTAATTACTGCGATCTAAACCCGATGGCTTAGGGGTAACGGTCACAGCTAACATTTCAATAGTCCCGGGTTTGCTGCCTACTTACTGTCTGATGAGATGTAATAACACCGAAACGCGTCATAGGAGCGCAGTGTTTTCGGGCGGGCAACATCCAATTTCTATTTGCATCAGCTACGGTCCTCGTGATCGAAAGACCAAGCTTCATTTCAGTGGGAATCACAGTCAACATTGCGTCTCGCAATCCATCTACACAACATGTATTTTAAAATGGCCCTCAAAATGCTGTAAGCTAAACCCGTTGAGAAGCCGACGGGTTGCAGGTGAATTATTTATTGGAGAACCAACGGATACATACTATAACAATTTGAACACGGCAACTGAGGCCTAATTTGAGCACTTCTCTCGTGGCGCCTTTCCAACTCGTCATTCTGCTGCGCCTCATCGCTCACAACGTATCGGGGGAGTGCATTTCTCCACTAAGCATCCTTCGTTTGACTGATTTGTGTACCACGTATCCTTCGTCCGCGGCTATTTACGCGTTCCCTGATTTCCTTGCGGCTCCTCGTTTCTACACAATACTCACTAGTGATGCGCCGCACTCCCAGCGGTTGACAACAACGAGTTCCTCGTAGAAAACCTTCATTGACCTTTTGAAGGGGGAATGTGTGGTATTTCCTTCCCATTGGGCACATCCACTCTAATCACCATATATGTAGACACACTGGAGCTTTTTGTTAGCACAGGCTTCTTGGTGTGAATTTGTTTTACACAAACGGCACACTTTAACTTCTCTGAATGAGAAGCATTGAGTCCCCTCATAGTAACTCGAATAGAATAAAAAGCAGACACGTGTCACAAGGTGGTACCACTTCATGCTCTCTATTCGCTTGCCAATGCAAACAAAAAAATCAATCGTTTGACATTGGAAGGTCACATGCGAACGGAAGTAATAGCTGACTACATCTTGGATACGTTTCACGAATCCTAAGGGTGTTTGGCTGTCACGGATAGTTGCTTTTGGATGCACATTGTTAAACCATCCTGGTTTATGGCCACTACTTCGGCGAATATATTGACTCTGGAATTTATGCTGTCATAGATGACAGTAAACGCCGTGTTGGGGTCTGCCTGATTACTCCTTTCATTCAGATGCTTAGCGTTCGAGGAGATAAGTATATCGGTCCGTCTGTGTTTGCCTTGTCGTGGTGGCGATACGCTTTTAATGTACTCATCAATCCGTTTACACAGACAATGGTCTGCTTCGCTAATGTAGCTGCCTTGCATTTACAAACTAATCGGTAACTGCAGTGCTTTGTGTCAGTGACCGGCTGGGTACGCTCCACCTGCTTCTCCTTCGTCTAGGGAGGAAACAATGTACAGTTAGTCCAATAACTCTTGTCCCTTTTTACTCTGTTACTCTGGGACAAAGGGTCACGCTTTCGGGTGAAAGTAGAGCGCACTAAATTGCCAACTGTCCAATAGTAGATCTTGGTCTATCTCAAAATTGGATAACACTTTCTGCAAACTGTTCACCGTGTTCCCGCGACATTCGTATTGCGATGCTCAGTTTTAGTTCTTTCGGCCTGCAGCCTTGGAATGACACAACTCTGCTACATTTCTTTGTAGAAGGATACTCACAAATGTGAAGCGTTTGTTCTGTTAATAAATCAAGCGCTGGGTTGAATGGCTGAAAAATTATCGGACCATTTTTCTTTTCCCATAAATGACGGGTAACTTGATCTTTTAGCAGAACTAATGCTTCATATTTGTTAGCATCCTCCGGCAAAGAAATGTAGCACACCTGCGTCATTCCAAAGCTTCAAGTCGAAGGAACTGAGACTGAGCATCGCAAAACGAATGTCGCGGGAACTCAGTGGACACTGCAGAAAGTGCTATCCAATAGTATCGGGCGTATACTGCTCTGCCAGCGAAATGACGGTGGTCATTTTGAACATCTATTTCGCTGATTTTTTGCTCTTGAAACCTTCATGTAATTATATGTATAATGCATAATGGTTGATTTCACTACCACATTGTTGCGATGCGTAACGTTGCCAATAATTTGTTGTGGTAGAATGAACACTACGAGAAAATAGAAGAAGACGGGTACCTGAGAAACGCGCGATCGCTGGCTTGCCCGACAGGGTGCTGGCGTCGGTGTTAATGTTTACTGTAAACTTGACGGCGGTGGACAAAACCGTTGAAGCTCAGTAGGCTGTGTTAGGCGCTTCTTGCAAGCCAGGATCACGTACTTCCTCGTGTTTGCCAAGTAACTCAATTATGATTAAGGCCATTCCTCTGTCAATCATGGTTCTCACATGGTAAGGGAACTGTCGCTGGTAACGTAGGAGCTACAAGATAGAGATGTTTTCACCACCGATTCTCGTTGGCGACTTCGGCACTTCGCTTCAGCCGTTATAGCTTCAATATGGCGCACCTGCCCATTATGCACAAACGGTGCGGGATTATCTTAACGAGGTGTTCGGTCACCGGTGGATCGGTCGCGGAGGTCCAAAGGATTGGCCTGCCCGGTCACCAGATTTGAACCCTTACATTTCTTCCTATGGGGTTATTTGAAAAGAAGAGTTTACAAGACAACGCCTATTTCACTGGAACAACTGAAAGGCAGTATTGTCAACGAATGTCGCGCCATCAACACGGAAACTTTGCAAAAGTTATAGCCTATTGCCTCAGGCGATTTCCGCACTGCAAGCAGAACGCCGGCGGGCACGTTGAGCATCTTCTTCGTTGACGGACATATCACCGTTTTATGCTGTTTATGTTAATATACGTATTCACCGTTATCACTGATTTCTGGACTAAATTGGTGCACGGGCAAATGGTGCCAAAGGTGCGTCGGGCCAGAATGCATTCAACGAGCAAAGCTGATTCGACAGCGCTTAGACTGACCACTTCTATGCAACTTGGTTCACAATGCTAATACTTGTTTTTCATGGTTATGCCTAAGGAATACTGGGAGGATGTGAACGAGATGGTGATGTGAGAATAGGCCACGCGGTTTCATATTTTTATCCTGTTCATCGGCGTACACACTCCGGTGTGGGATGGGTGCTTTTAAACCATAACATATCGGGCAAAGATTGTCCAACGATTTTTCTATAAGAATACAGACCGTGAAAGCGTGACTTATGCATCCTTTTGAGTTTGCTTATCGGCGTTTGCAGCATTATGTGTCAGAAAAGCTACCACAGGGATAACGGGCTTGTAGTGAACATTATGCATGAGAACGCACATACGTGTGCTATGGTCTCACGATTTGACAGCCAGTTTTGCGAGCCAAGGAGCTTCGCGCTCTGTGGCAAACGTGAATTGCAGTATCCGCGAGGATTAGAGATTGCCTAGAAATGTTACTTCTCAATTCCATGCTAATGAAATATCGCTTCAACAGTGAATTTGTTGATATGAGACCTGAAGACCGACGGGAGAATAGGTTATGCGGCAGCAAGTACCGTATTTTTCAGACAATAAGGCGCAACAGCTTATAATACGCAGTATCAGTGAACAGATCTAATTTCATATAAATGGGCACATAAAGCGAAACTAAATGGTCGGTGAGGTCAGACTTAATTCAACTCATTAACGACGAATGTCAATATTGTTTACTTGTAACATGCATAAACACAGAAAAATACACTCACT